AACACAGATTTCCTATAAAAGTGCTGGTCCCCCTCCCATTTGTCAGACCCACACACCTTGGATCGGATTCAAATTACTCTTTACGCATTACCTATTTTCTACTTCTCACGATGACCGAAAAACCCNCTCATAGGTTGCCTATCTGAGCATAGATTCCGATTTCCGTGTTCCGATGAAAGTAAGACTCGGAAAAGCTTCTTTCTTGCCTTGCACAATGTGCCTTCATACCTTTTTCGCGGGTCTTTCGAAATCCCTAGTTATTAGCATGAATGCTTTGTAATTTCCACGGCGTCGCCTTTACGTCTACCTCCTTATTTGAGACCTTGAATTCTCGCTTCTTGTGCAACAGCTTCGTGAACTGCCCCTATGAATGGGACTTTCCGTCGCGCGAAGTTTTCGCTTTTCGCGGCGGTAATAGCCTTTTTAAATGTCATACACCCTACCTAACGCCTGTTTTTCGATCAAATTGCTAGATTTTCTTCTCTTGCTCGAAGACGATTTGACTTCTGTGGTGATGGATTACTCTGCCTGATCGAGTCTACTGTCTAACACTACAGTAACTATGATTTGTAATAGTATCGGTATACCTAGCCAATTTTTTCTCACTTCATCCTCTTGGAAGAATTTGGAGCACAATTTTTTAATTTTCGAGAAAAAACTTAGAGCTGGGAGTTTATTGGGACTTGGGAGCTTCGCGCTTCCTAGCTTCTTTAGCTATTGGTGAGCTTGTTGTTGTTGGGTATCGCTAAGTAAGGCTAGTTGTGTTTATAGCATCTAGAACTGCATACATAACTAAACGTTTACTATGACGATAGCCGAGTTTTCAGTAGTCAATGAGAATGTGCGAGCATCGTCTTTCTGAAACATAATACCTATACTAGTCGTTAACCTCGGAGATTGAGCACTGAAGTTTGTCCAAGCCTGCTGATAAGTATAACATTCGATGCGACACTATTGTTGTCGTAGTAGCTAAAGGCCTCTATCCCTCTTCTGTTACGGGCTAAGAAAGAGGTTGTTGGCCGTACGCTCACAAGTATACCTTGTGGAGCACAAGTAGCTAACAAGTAATATGGCCCAGCACCAAACAGACGTCGTAAGCGTAACACCTTCATAACTTCGCCTGTGGAAATCGCCCCAGTGCCCATCAACTTTAGGGAAGCCTTAAAATTAGGCAATATTGAGCTGTTGTGTCCTATCGTAGCCCTATTAGACCCTATTCATTTGGAGTTTGTGTACAGCATAGGAGTGCATGGTATGGAGTACGCTGAGCGGGGGTCTCGATCGCTCTCTTTTTCTGGATTCAGGCTTAGCTAATTCTGAATTGGATGTTGAGAGAGAATTCTCTTTATAAAAGTGAACTTCAGTTGCCAATGAAGTCCTGTGCCAGCTGGCCATGAAAAAAGGTTCTTCAACTCATGCACGTCGCACCACTTTTAAGCTCAATAGAGCCTCTTCACCCCTCCTCACACAGCCGTCTCTGTTCAATGCCAGAAACTCTGTCTAAATTCGAATTCTTCTACTTGTGCCACTCCTTCTAGGGTCTTCTAGAACTTCGGTCCTGAATGAGACTCAAATGGATGGACTACTTTCATATTCAAACCTCTATTTACTTTGTATCTTTTCATCTGTATTCTGTGATAGGAGATACTCATAGTCGTGCTAAAAGCCTGGGTTGGCAACAATTTTCAGGAGCGAGTTTACGGGTCGTCCTCAGGCTACCGTTATCCCTTGAATCCTCGGTTTCCGACTTGTTTACTCCAAGAACCTCTAGAAAAAAAATGTGGGAATGTAGTTTGGAAATTTGGGAACTGGGTTCATTATGTTGAGTATGTGCGTAACAGAAAGTACAGATTACTCAGTACATTACTTTCAAACCCTATGAATTAATATTTTTATGTTGTCCTCATTAGACGACTATCAATCGTCTGGCCAGCTCTCTGTATCCCACGCAAGTCATTTCGTGATGACGGAATTGGATAGGAGAAAAGGGAACTG